TCCTTCCTTCCCAAGCTGTTGACTCTCCCTTGAATACCTTTCATTTCTTTCCCCAATTTTTCTTCTACCCTTCTTACATGACTTCTAAAATTCTTTTTGAGCTCTTCCAAGAAGAATTTTTGGGCTTGAGATCAATTAATATTCTCCTTTGAGGTTTCAGATGTAGGTATATTGACAATGTTGTCCTCTTCTGAGTTTGTGTTTTGATCTTCCCTGTCACCATAGTAACTTTCTATGGTCAAATGTTTGTTTTTCCTTCTTACTCATTTTTGGCCATTTTGTGGCTTTTAAAGTTGAGCTCTCCTCGTGTGGCACAGATATCTCAAGCTTCTTGTGCTGGGGATTAGGGGTCTGGTCACTGGCTTTGGGTGCTGGGGCTTCAGATGCTGGCATCTTGCTCACAGCACTGAGATGGCCCGGCCTAAGTTGTTGCCTGGTTTCTGGGGTTGAAAACTTGCCTTCTGTGCTGGGGCTGGAGGCCTCACAGCTGACCAGCTGTGCCACTGGCCTGTTGAGCCAGGACCAAGGTGCCTCAGTCTCTGATCTGTGCTGTGGCTAAGAGCCTCCTGCTGGCTTGCCCAGACACCATCTGCCCTGGGCTGCGCTCTCCTTTTACCCAAGTGAGACAGACCTTTCCTGAAGTCCTTATAAGTTATCTTAAGCTTAAGCTGGAAATTGTTTCACTCCATCTTTTTGTAGGTTCTGTTGCTCCAGAATCCACTTAGAGGTTTGATTTAATGTTTCTGAAGGAAACTTGGGAGAGCTCAGGCAACTTCCTGACTTCTCTTCATCTTGGCTCCCGCAAAAAATAAAAAAATAAAAAAAATTGGGAACCAATTTACCACGATATATCCATCATATAAATATTCTATAAAACACTCTATAAAGAAATAAAGAATTACATCACCAAAGGACAGTCATTTCTCAAGGTTAAGCTATGTCAATATAATTAAAATGATGATTTTACTTAAATCATTTTTTTAAATGACTGCTATGCTAATCAAATTATCAGGGGGAAATCTGTAAGGCTAGACAAAATAACCAAATTTATTTAAAGGAATAAAAAGTCTAGAATCTTAAAGAAAATAATGAAAAGGTAGGAAAGAAGGGGATATCATATTTCCAGAGCTCAAACCATACTATAAAGAAATAATCATCAAAACTATTTGGTGCTGATTAAAAGGTAGAAAAGTAGATCAGTGGAAGAGATAGATAAGCAAGAAAAAAAAAAACCAATGAATTCTATAGCCAAGTGTTCAAAAGAAAATGAGAACATAATTTACTTGGGGAAGATACACTGACAAAAGGAAAAATAATGGGGCTGGGGGGAGAAATACTGAACTTGAAACAAAATGAAAAGAGAAGATCTAAGGATTATAGATATTACAGAAAAGCATTATTTAAAAAAAAAACCTTGAATACCATACTCTTCAGAAATCATTCAGAAAAATTAGCTAGAAATATTGGAAACAGATGACAAAGTTCAGATTAGAGAATCCACAGAACAAGAACACAAAGAAACCTAGAGTTTTAATTGCCGAGAAATGCTGCAGTCAGATCGTAGACTTGTTACATCAAAGAACAAACTGTGCAGTGAGCAAGGAAAAATTCTTCAAATTCCAAGGAGAAATAATCACAAAAGTAAAGGATTACTCTGTGGGTATAAGAAACCAAAGGAAGAAATGGAACGTGATATTCCAAGCAGTAAAGAACAATAGCTAACACCTAAAAACAACAATTCCTTCATAGCTGAGCTAAAAACCAATGAAAACAGATTAATTTTCAGTAAGAGGGAAGCTGGAATATTTTTTTCTAAAATATACCTAGACGAGCAAGGTATTATATTTGCAAACTGAACAAATAGCAAAAAGTTAAATGCTTACAGCAAGTAATGAAAAATTAAGAAATGAAAAGTTTATTTTCATGTGTCTAGGGCAGGCAAAGAAATGAATGAGGTACAAGAATAGTTTTTGTTTTTCTTTTTGAAAAACGTGTCATACACTATATATTACATTGACTTTCTTTAGTTCAGGAAAGATTGTTTACTTACTGTATGCACTTTCTCTACTCCATTGCACAGTTATTATATTTTACAAGGTAAAATTGTTAGAATTTCATACCGAAATTTTAGAAAAGGCAGCTTGCTGTTATATCTATGCATCTTTGAGGGTTTGAAGGAGAGATTTTATTCTTTTGATGGTGTAAAGAGGAACTGTTTTGGGGCAGCAAGGTGGTGCAGTAGATAGAGCACTAGATCTGGAGTCAGAAGGACCTGAGTTCAAATCTGGCTTCAGACACATGATATTCACTAGCTGTGTGACCCTGGGCAAGTCACTTAACCCCAACTGCCTCACAAAAAAAAACAAAAACAAAATACAGAAGAACTGTTTTTAAAAACCTAAGTTAGAAACTCTGCAACTATGTATAAAACTTTTGGGGTTTGTTTTTGGTTTTTAGCAATAAAGCAGCATGAAAGAAAAAAAAACCACACATCCTGGTCAGGTTTTTCTTCATTTCAAATAAAACTTTACCTTTTTACTAAAAAAACTGAAATGTAAAAACTTTCATTGAGAATGCAAAGAGAATATCAATGGATTAGAGGATCAAAAGATTAAAAGTTATAATTGGAAAATCAGGTGAATAATGGGAATTAATATTTAAAAGGAAAAACCTCAACTTCTCATTAAAAAATCCATAATATCCTGGATAGCATAGGATAGACTATTGAGGCACAAAACACAGAGGCAGAAATAGGAATTGGGTATATCCAGTAGTAAGGGCTTAATAATTAAACCAGGGAAAGAAAACCAAGAAAGAAGACAATAGACAGATATCCCCAATGAATATCAACATATAAATTTTAAATAAAATATTAGAGGCTATTGTAACATATTAAAAAATTAAATATACCATGATTAGGTTAGATTTATACCAGGAATACTGGATTGGTTCAATAGTAGATTCAATATTAATTTCAATAATAGATTATTAGTTGGAATCTACCTACTATTATCTAATATTAATAAACAACAAAACACATGGTTATATCAATAGATACAGAAAATGTTTTTGACAAAATACAATATTCATTTTAAAAACTGCATTACAAAACCTAAGAATATATGGATCTTTCCTTGCAATGGTATGTAGTAACCATCTAAAGCTACAAGTCAACATTCCATATAATAGAGATAAATCAGAAGCCTTTCTAATATGATCAAGGGTATGATAAATTCCACTGAAAATAACTCCAAAATACATATCTGTGACAACCCACACACACAAAAAAAATTCTATAAATATAACTACAAAACACCCTTTACAAAAATAAAGGGAGACTGTTTCTAGAAACAACAAGAGAAGACAAAGATCTACTTTATCTTGACTCTGGCCACAGTATATCTAAAAACACAATCTTATAGGCCAAAAATAGATTCCCCTTGACATATTAAAGGGCAATTAAATGCTGTAGTCATTAATGAGCCAGGGCCAGGACAATCAGATTCAAGAACAAGGATATTCCTGAGAACTAGAAAGACACCTTTATATCTTGTTCCTCCATTCCTGGCAATGGGCCTGAGATTAAAATGAAGATGAGGCCAGATATAGCATTCTTAGAATTCCACCTGGAATTACCTAGGCCCAACTAGTTAGTCATGTAAGCTCAAAACTATAAGAAATCCTAAATGAAAATGATCTTTATCAGGCACACCCTGAATGATTGTTGGAGTATTAACTGGTCCATCTATTCTAGGAAGATTTGTATGAACTGATGCGGAGTAAAGCAGAACCAAGAAAATATATGTAATGACGACAACAATGTAAATGAAAAAATCACTTCAAGGAAGTTTGACTCCAAGTATGAAAAAATCAGTAATGGTCTTAGAAAAGAAATAATGACATATACTTTCTACTTCATGGCAGATATCATAGAGGCATATATAGGGCAGTATATCATATATATTATCAGAAATGGTCTCTACATCAGTTGTCATATTGGAGGGTTCAATTTGGAGGAGGGGGAGGTGTGAAATAATTGATGTAAAGACAAAAAGCATCAATAAAACTTATCCAAAAGAGAAATAAAAATAAAACTCATGAAGAAGACAAGCATATTGTGATGTGTAGATCCTCTATGGAGGCGAGCAGCAAGAATTATACAGGATGAGTAACAGACAGATAAAGTTGTATACTGCTGAGAGTGTACCCATGTTAACAGCATCATAGATCTACTGAAATAATGACCTGCTTCACTTCTGCTATTCCCACACTGACGTATGATAATCAAACTATTCACTATTGGTGGCCTTTGGCACTCCAGTTCCCTTCAAGAATCAGTCTGCTCTGCTGACCTTCAGCTCATGTTCTATGTCCCAAGGTCCCTGGCTACTCTAAGGTAACAGAATTGAGTAATGAGGTCTGGGACATGAGTATAGCTAGGGAGAGTTCAGAAATTTTTTGTCAACATAGCAACTGCCTCTTTAAAATAACATTCACATGCCCAGAGGCCTACCTGAAAAGTTGAGGAAAATGCAAATTTGCCACCACCTCCAACCCAGACATAGCTAAAACATGCAGGAGCACAAATACACAAACATACCTCCATTCTCTTCTAGTCAGCCACTTCTTGCCCTTGACCTTGCTGAACAAACTACAAAATGATATCCTTGCTACACAGAACCTCCCAAACGCCACTTTTGCTCAGGGCCCCTAGGCTATTATAGTAACCTGGCCCCAAGGTATCATAGCACCCCATGCAAGATAGCATAGTGAAGTTCTGCATTTTTTTCAGCAGCCACAGAGCTGAAATAAGGGATGACTCAAGGCTGAAGTCAAGTGAGACAAAAGCTACTCTCCCTTCAAGTACTATTACAGAGACTTTTCAATCTATCCCGGGGCCAAGTTGGGGATGGGACCTTTGTTGATGGTGGTATTTTAACTGACCACTCAACTACTTCCTGTTGCATCCAAATTCACAGCAGATTTTCTTTTCTACTTACCTCTGCCACTCTGTGGGTTGAACTGAATCGAGGTTGCAAGCCAGCCAAAACACAGTGTTGATGAGTGGTATTAAGATCATCTAAAGACAGATTACAAAACAAACAAACAAACAAAAAAAAAACCAACTTAAACCAGAAGGGAACAAATTGACCTTACATTATTATATTATACCAGCTAACAATGAGCTGTATATTACCATATACTGCCAACTGGAGATAAAAAGCACATCATAAGTTCAGTACTCGAGTAGAACAAAAATTATTTTATAAGTTGATATTTAATTCTGTAAAGAAGCTCTCTTCACAAATGTTCTTACTCCACCCCCATTGGATTTCTTTTTAGAATATAACTATATTTTCAGTTTCTGAAACAGCTTGTAAGTTCCTATATTACTGTAAGCTAGCTTTCATCTCTGCCCAAGGCATTCTTGTTTCTTCTTCCTCAACTCAATGTCTTCTTTTCCCCATCAAATTTTAGGCAATGGACCTGTTAATACAATAAGTTGCCAAGTTTCAGATGAACACATCAAGCTCAAAGTAGGATGTGTAGCAACAGAAGCCCAATTCCTCAGTCAATTCAGAAAAGACACCATGTTCCTTTAGATATAAAGTCCTTTATTGGAAAGATGAGTACCTGGTCCTCCTTGTCTAGCAAGAAATTATTTTCTGTACCACCACAGACTAATTTTCTGGATAATCAACAATCAAAAAAATGCCTCCTCTCTACTGCCAAAATCAACCAATCAATAAACATTTATTAAACACCCACTATATGCTTGGCACTGTGTGCTAAGCTCTAGGGATTAAAAAAAGGGGCAAATGACAGTAACTGGCCTTAAGGAGCTCACGATCTAATGGAACCATTGCACACTTTCTGTGTCAATAAAAATTACTACAAAATTTGTCTTGAAACAACATGAAATTGAGAAAATATAGTCCACAACAGACCAACTCCTAGAAGATTCTCCTTTGATAAGTTCATGCTGCTGAGAAAATTGAACTGATTGTGTATCGCCTTCTTATTCATCCTACGCACAACTAATTGCTTTTGTCCTGTAACTGCTTAAGTTGTGGTTCTTTGTATCTGTACTTGATTCAGAATTCAGCTGGCCTGTAATGGGTTAAGTTTAGAAATCCAGCTCTCAGGGCAGGAAGGTGGCACAGTGGAGAGAGCACTGGCCCTGGATTCAGGAGGACCTGAGTTCAAATCTGGCCTCAGACACATAACACCTACTAGCTGTGTGACCATGGGCAAGTCACTTAACTCTACTGCCTAATCAAAAAAAAAAAAAAAGAAAAGAAAAGAAAAGAAAGAAATCCAGCTCTCCAGATAATCACTGATCTATTCTCGCCTCAAGGAACTTAGCTGACCGACTAATATCTTTACACCATCAAGCTACCCTTGAAGGATGTCTGGTTTGCTGTCCAAAAGTCTGGGTCACTATCTTGCACCTAGACTCAAACAAGGAGTACTTCTTGGTCTCAGGAGAGGAGGAGGAGGGGGTTGTTACTAGCCCTCGTTACCAAACTTCCAGCCAATCATATTTTTCCCTGCACCTCACTCTCTAACCAATCATGTTGCCTTCAAACCTGTGATGTCATCTACCCTGTTCTCTTGTTTTGTCCTGTACTCCCCATAACCTATAAAAGAGGAGCTGTTCTTTTGCTCGGGGTCCTTGGCATAAATGGAGGCAAGCCACTGACCATTTACCGACAGGCACCATTGCCCCTGTTAATAAACGTAATCTTGCAGGGGAAATTGCCTCATTTTGCCTTTTTGTTAAATTCCAAATGCTATATTGCCCGTTCCACATCTCAATATCATCAGCCCAATTCTCCTTTATTCCTTAAAGGCTGCTTATATCTGAAATAAGTATAAATTTAGTGTAGGCAGAACCAAGGAAAAGGATGGAGTCTACGTTGTATTAAAAACGAAAATGCT